GTTTTTGGGGGTGTTTTCTTTTTCATGGCTTATGATACGAAGATGGGATGATCTCTTGTCCTTTGCCATAACTTGTTTTCCTATCACTGGGGGAGTTATCCAAGTAGATGATCAAGGAAATCCACTAGTGACTCATCCATTTTTGGTAATACCTTGAAAGTTGTCTCGATTGAAGTCTCAGGTTCTCCAACAGGTTGGCTTATCTCTGGGAAAGTCTTTGTTGAAGTTAAGCAATTGGCTGTTCTCCTGCCATACTTCCAAAGACGATAATAATGGATTACTTTTGGTTTGGACCATCTGACTTCCTGAATTCTGCTCTGCTGCAATTTAAGCTTCTTGCTATGTTTTAATTTTCTTGTACTTTCTTCTCTGTGGTCACTGGCAGTTCACCCTCTAAATGTGTAATTATCATATAATGTTGTAAGGGGACTTCCTGGGTATAGACTGTAAAGCTATTTGAAGTAGTCTAATCTCACATCCATGTTTCCTCATGAAGTTAGTTTCAAATATGCACTCTTCCTCGATGTTAATTATCATTAGGTGTAGATAAGCTTCCCATAGTGTGTATGACTTCCAGCTTTACTCCTACTGGAACTTTATGCCTACTTGCTGTTTGTATCAGTCCATTTTCTTCATCTCTTGAGGCAATTTCCCACCTTTTATTACCAGATCAGTCGAACAAGCGCAGCTGTAAAACAATAATTGATCAACATACTGCAATGCTCTCCACCAATAAACCTGTTGACTCGTGGTAGATGGGGGTATTCTCATCCTTAAGATATCAGCTTCTTGGTTTTATATCAATGAATGTTTAATCACAGACTCGGATGTAATGTCCATATTTTCCACATTTATAGCAGTTTCTTTCTCCTGGCACCTTTGGGAGCAGTTTGTAGCAATATGTCCTTTTACATTACAGTTGCAACACCTGCCTAGTATCGACTAAAAATACGAAGAATTACATTTTGGTGGAATGCTACAAGCTCTTCAAATATCCATGAAATGATAGGTTTCTTTTTTGTGAGTGTAAAACACTTAAAAACACCATTTCGATTTTCGATACCTCACTACTATAAAGGCTTGGTTGGGTCTGAAGTTACATTCGGTGGTCATGTCCAGGGTCACTGATGAGCAAGAATAGACCATTTCAAGTTTTTACTTGTTGTTCAACAAATGTTTAAATAACTCTGTTCAACGGTGAAGCTTTTTGTTACTACTTGTTTTTCGATATCCAGCTACCGCAGGGTACTAAATTGACGAATCTTCACCAAATGTGGTATGTAGGTTCACTAGTTCGTTGTGCAGTTACATGTAAACATTTACCTTTCTACTCTTCGTTTTACGGTAGTTATGGTAGGTTTTGCGTTTCGTACCACCACTCCGCCCTCCTTTTGACAGATCTTCTCCAAATTTTGAATGACTGTTCGATGGATCCTTGCGCATTTGCATGCAAATTTTCGTAAAAATCTGTCGACCTCAAAATTTAAGAAATAGATTTTGAATACTAAAACAATTTGCTATACGAATTTTTCTTACAAGGTTTTACAAATAAAAAGGCAACATGCTGCCATCTCGTGTTGATACTAATAAAATGTTCGTAATTTTTGTATAAGAATGAATGTTAAGCTAAATCATCATAACAGTCTTGATCATATCTGCAACGAATAATCTAATACAAAATATAATTCACCAAACATGCTCGCCCTTTCAGCAGTAGGGGCGTTATAAAGTGATGGTCAATCCTACTATTCGTTGGTAAAAGAGTAGCCCAAGAGTTGGCGGTGGGTGGTGATGCCTAGCTGCCTTCCCTCTAGTCTTACACTGCTAAATTGGGGACGGCTAGTGCAGATAGCCTTCGTGTAGCTTTGCCCGAAATTCAAAAACAAACAAACAAATCATACACTATCCGAAAATTGTGCGTCGAACTTTAATGTATCATAAATTCAGACACATTAAAGCAAGAGTGTTTTTTGTTATCATCAAATGAAACAGTAGAATAATTATTAATCTAAAATATTACTGGACACTTTAACCCATTGCACATATATGTATTCATAAATAAACCTAGGAAGTGTTATTACTCTCCTATGTATTCGAGTTACACGTAGAATTATTTACACTTTTGGATTACTTGTAGGAAGGAAGGGAATGTAATTCTGGCCTTTATTTTCGACAGTTATTTGGCTGGTGCTGCCATCTAGTGATATCCACCAGATCAATTATTATTGTAAAAGTAAATGTTGGATTAAATAAGGTATGAACGAGTTACATGCTTGCATCAATTCGTGGAATATAAGCATATATATATATATATAACGTATAGTTGTTCTAAAAGTCTCCCTTTGTCATTCTGTAAACTAATGAAAAAACTAGCGTAAGAATATTAATTTGCATTAAGTGGAGAGTCCGTCATTGTAAGATCGTCACAAGAACCACAAGTCAGAACATTTGTGTGATTTCATCAAGCCAGGGATTTTTGTGTTATTCTTTCGTGGCTGAGATGTATAATGGGATTACAGTTGGGTATTTGGATATGAGTAGATATAACGTAATTAATTCTCTACTACAGCTCCTACTGATCATTGTATTCAAAGACTTATCTAACCCAAGATTTCAGAGTTTTCTTTGGGTATTTTCCACTTTTTTTTTCATAATGTTCCGATGTTCATTTTATCAAGGGATTTCACAGTCACTTTAATTAAGTTGGCGGTATGTTTAAACCTCGTGTTTTGTTACGAAAAGTGGTTGATCAGATGCAGTTGGGTAGCATGTGATTCAAGTGCTTTTTGTTTTATCATGTAAAATTCTACAGGTGCAGGGACTAGAATGCCACAGTGTTACTAACAGAATTTGTTGTTGTTGTTTTGGTTTTGTTCTTACAAGGCAGTTTCTTAACGTTTCTGCCTTTATTATATTTTTTTGCATTGGTCCAAAAAATATTTTCAAAGTGGTCAACTTGGCACAAACTTTATTTAATGTTTTCTTACCAAGTTTACCATGATTACTAAGGACAACATTTCATGTTACATGCTAGACGTCAATACCTTATTCACCACTGATTATATAAAATAAACTTACAATTATCTGTATTAGCGATCTAAGCATCCTGATTTAAGAGAAATAGTTCATAAAATGCCATATGATCCAATTACCAAACTATTTGACTGAGATAAGTTAGGATCAATAATTCTATTGTGGGGAATCGAACCCCGGATTTTAGCGCTGATCCACCGGTGGACAGAGTTATATAACTAAAGGAAGATCTCTGTAGGTCGATACTAGTTTCATAAGAAACGACAGAAACATCTTTATTGGTACTTTTAGTTCTGTTGAGAGTATTTTTGAAAAATTATTTATAATTAGTAACGTGCACATTTCCGATACTGCCCTTATATTTCTAAAAAATGTCAGTGATATTATACTGGTTAGATTACGATCAGGAAAAAATATTTTCAGGATTTATTAGAGAGAAAATTATATATATATCTCACTTTGAACAATAATTCTGCTGTGATTAGCCCAAGAACAATAGTCAACACACCTTCTTTTGTGGAACACTAATGACCATACTTATGGTGGTACTAGGTAGTGACATTTCTGTCATTTATTTCAACAAAAACAAACACTCAGAGTTTCTAGCTCGACGTCTCAGAAGTTCCTCACAGGTTTCATGAAAAGTTCAGGAATAGAAAGTGTTCCATAGATAATGTACCACAATACCGTGACCGCTGTCTGAATTACGGTAAAAAAATCCCCTAACTCTACTGACAAAAACCAATCATTATTTCTTTGGATATTATCCAGTTATAAGATCAGCATACACCTTTGATTTCTTCATGAAATAATGCATATTCTTGTAGATTTTCAGACACAGATTAAATATCGTATATAGTTCCTACAAAGTGCCTTACCATGTCTACAGCTGTTGAGTCAGAGATTGCTTGTTAAAATACAATTCAATTTTTCATTACGTCCTATTTGAAATTGATTTACCTCTAGATGACCAAACGTCACCCTTGTGTGTTGCAAAATGTGACAGATTAAGTGAGTCATTTAAAAAATTAAAAGGAGAATGTTAATTAGGATATTCCCGGGTGTTACCTCAAGCGTATAAATCACAAATCTTGTTATGAATTTTGATATAAGTAGCAATCGAAACTTTAAAAATTTACCCGTATGATTTTAAGTGTGTTTAAAATATATTTTTTGCATATACGTAGATATTGATAATGCTTGAATGTTTATAGAACCTAAACAACAAATAACGACAATAACCTAAGCCTACCCACCAGAATGTTTATCAAATCCAAATATTTTATGTTAAAAATCTTTAATTGTTCAACAAACAGTGATATCCTTACTTCGTGTGTTGATAATAACTATCACCTGGAATAGTCCTTAGGTATTGAAAACATTAGTACACGTTTCATTTTACTTTTGTTCCTAGAGTGACAATACCGCTTCATATCGATTGAATATACATGCTTATATTGTCCTTATATTGTCCCTGGTGTCTTTACTAAGTGAATGTATATCGTCCAACTTAGTGAATCTTTCCTGTGAGTGAAACGTGTACGTTTATTTGTTTGTTCAGAAAGTTCCTAAACGAGTTTTTTCACCAAACGAAATGGGTTATTATAGAGTTATTTACAGAATCATTCGGTTATCTTAAACGTCACACACACACACACACACACACACACACACATATATATATATATGCAATAGCGCATTAGAAAACAAAAACTCATAACTATATGTACATCCAAACATCTTGCCTGATTCTTTAAAAATATTTGAAATATTGCTTGTAGTTAGGTGGACTTAACATGGAATTGTAGTTTGTTTCTTTGTTGAATTTCGCGCAAAACTACTCGACGGCTATCCGCCATAGGCGTCCCCAATTTTGAAATGATATACTAGAGGGAAAAGCAGCTAGTGAACACCACCCACCGCCACCTCGTTGGCTATTCTAATCGTTGGGATTTATTTATCTGCCATTCACAGCCCCAAAGTGCGGAACGTGATTTTAATTTTGGCGGGAACGGAGTGTAAACTACTGATCCACAGTCTAACACGTTAATCATTGGGTCACGCTCAGCTAACAGTGGACTATTTAGGTTCTGTCTGTAGAGGTCAGATTCAAAGCGACACTGTAAGTGTAATATAGCAAAATGTTCGAAGTGTTGCAAGTGTGTCAGGTGTGGATGTGACCACGATGGCACACCAGTTGTAAGAAAGGTCAAAGAAGCTTCGACGTAAGTGCTGCCAAGAGAAGAACGTCTGTGTACGAAAGCGGTAAGCTTACAGATGTATCCAACAATTTTCCTCCATTGGAAAAGAGAGGAAAATTGAACTGTTGTATTATTGAGTTGAAGCTTCATAGCTGAGGAACTGGCATTTTCCACAGGTCGAACATTTCAACACTGTGTAGAACCAGTGGTCATTTGTGGTGTTCGCCCAAATGCAAAATTCTTACTGCTTATATGTTTCATCATCACTGCTGCTCTATTGGATTTAGTAACAATACAATGTTCAACATTCGAGCATTCAACAAAATGAAATAATTTCATTGACAGGTGAGATAGTCTGTTGACATTTCCATGCTTAAACAGTGTTGTACAACGAAGATGCAATCCAATGTGCAATTGTACCATCTGAATGTTTGAACATCATTAGCTTCCTTTAACAGTGACATACTTATTTATAGTGCCTATGGAGGTATATAAAATGATTTAACCATTATGTGTCCGATTTATGAATTGCATCCTTATATAATATTTTTCATGCTTCAAAGGCATATTTAAGAAATGTAGTTAAACGGCTTAACTGAAGGCACATTTCTGAATATTTTGATAATTCAATTAACAAACTTAGTAATTTTTGATTTATGAAGCAATCTCTAACTCAACGGTAGAAATTATGACTATTCTGGCAGGTGGAAGAGTATCCCATCAGATCCAGAAATCTGGAAGCTTAAGAAAGAGGGATATGGCTGTGTGGAGTTTGACGTGGGAATCATTTTGACATGATGATTTCTTTGCTGCCCTACCAAAGCGCACCCCCACACGCCATTGTTTTAGTATTCGTTTGTTCTACTATCTTTGTGATATACTTCATGAGAAAAAGTCGTCGTATTCTCCTTTCCTTACCTGATCGTGAATACCACGCCGAATCCCAGGGCGACTACAGGCTACAGAGAAGCTGGGGGTTATGAAGACTGATGTGCAAATTATATACAGTAAATTGCCATTCTGCTATTGAAGGGCAGGGATTTACATTTGTCTAAGTATAGGAGTCCATACACCAGCCCACGTCACCAAAATTTGGATGTGTCAGCTATTTATTTGTAGAGAATCCATGGCAAGTGCTTGTTATTGCAAAGTGTTTGTTTCTCTAAATGAATGTATTTGCCTGTGTCCACCTGCTCCACTCTGACCTATGGGAATAATAATATTAATAAAAAACACGTCTCATCACTTACAGCAAAATACAAGTCTCGATATTAATTATTTAAACTATTTAAAAAATTGTGTTTGAAAGTAAGTTGTGATGGAGGCCTGACATAAGTATATGAGGAACTGGGAATAGGAATACTATAAAGAATGAAAAAAAGAGAAGTGAATGAGTGCACCAGGAACCTCATGAAAAAATAATCACTGACATATGAATGTAAATAAATAGAGCAATGCAATAAATGTGAAAACAACTAAGTGTAACAAAGAGTAATTAGAAAGTTGTGAATATTATTAAAAGAAAACAAAAGCATGACACATAGTACTTTAACTAATTTAACTGTAACAGGAAGTAATCAGGGTGCTAAATATTACATTTCTCTTTTAATCTAATACTTTAGGTGTTGGATATAAATTGGTCATTAACACTACACCATTTATCTTCAACTTACCAAAAACAAAATTATCAGGACGAAACAGCTGTCCAAAAGGCCCAGACCGGACAGAGTCCATTGTACCAGGCTCCAAATCCAGCAATATGGCACGAGGGACATATTTACCTCCTATTTATTGAAGACATTTGAAAACAATGTAAATATTCTGTCTGCTGTCAAATATATATACATACTGGTTTATTAATAACTACTTAAGCAAAATCTAAATGAGAAGATAAACATTGTTTGAAAACATTATTTGTAATTTTAAAATGAAATTTACTAAAATCATACGTACAATCATATAATACTTGTGATTTTTAAACATAAATTACTTTCATATGATGCTTTCTTGGTAATGGAAATTCAAATACTTGTATAACTTTGTAAAGTGTTTAATTCTGTTCAATATTAAAAAACTTTTCAAATTCAATGATATATATATATATCAAGATTCACTTCTTGGGGTGGAAACAAAGAGGATAGCCTATTGTGTAGCTTTGCACTCAAACAAACAAATGTTTAAAATAATTTTTCGTAATGACTTACAAACCTTGCAAGAAATATAACTTAATATGAGTATTGTATTTAAGTAAATAATTCGAAAATTATTTAAATATATTTTCAAACATTCTCTTTTCCATTTTTAGTATAAGTTTTTTTATTTTTAAGTTTCATGTAAGATTGTTTGTTTATTTGGAATTAAGCACAAAGCTACACAATGGGCTACTTGTGCTCTGCCCACCACGGGTATCGAAACCGGTTTCTAGCGTTGTATGTCCGCAAACATGCCGCTGTGCCACTGGGGGGTTTCACGTAGGATTAAACTTACACTGACGTTCATATTTATCATATTCACACACCCAATTACAAGTTCAATTTGCAGTAGGCGTATCTGGAATATGACATCACTATGACAGGCCATATATGGTCAAAGTTATCTGTCGTGAGCAGGTGTTGGAAACAACTTGTTTTTCCTGTCATTTAACTAATACAAACGCCTATTCAAGCAAATTTTTAAATCCATGCGCATACGATTGTGACTTGTATTCAACGTGGAAAAATAAAAAAATTAACGATATGGCATAATATTTAAAATTACGCACCTGATAATGTTTTGGAGATGTTTTATGTTACAATTAATCATCTTGTTGTATCACAACAATGTGTAATTTAAGATGAACAATACTTTATAAAAAATGTTTTCGTTTCATGGCAAAATACTAATACGCTATTAAAATTCACAAGTTTAAGCATTTATATAAGCCTCTCGAAACAGTCAATTATGTGTATATACGACTGTATAGGTTAAACTAGGGTGTGGTATGATCTAGCTTTTCGTGCAGACAGACGCCATATCGATTTGTCTGTATCCGTGGCAGTTGCCATAGCAACATAGTTCTTGTATCCCCACTTAATTAATAAAACTACGTCAGTTAGTCAGTGTTTCGCTATTTTTGTTTTTTTATAAAATAAGGAACCGTACGCAGGAATTTAAATTTGATCTCTTTTAGAGAGAGCACGTTCAACACAAACATATTATGTACATACAAACCCTAACCACACGCACATACATCGTATTCATACAAATAAACACCATTATACTTACCAAAATGACCAAGTCCGTATGAATAGTTATGGGGGAGCTCAGGTCCCTGATTTCCCCCTTGCGCATGCATCGATAATATATAACTCTTCCTTTTATGCAAATTTCCCGTATCCACTCATAATTTTGAACTACATCATAAGTTAGAAAAATAATATACTGTAAGATTTTATGTTGGACTATAGAGAACAAAACAGATTCAAACAGTGAAATGGAAGAGCTCATTTTTACCTGAAGCTTCATTGTAGTACACATTGATTCTTTCCAATTGTAGATCTGAGTCTCCATGATAAGCTCCGATTGGATCGATACCATGCTCGTCAGAGATCACCTCCCAGAACTGTTAGAAGTACAACATATTTTGTAAGTTCAGAAGAAACTGCATGTTTATAAATAAACTTGGTTTTAAATTTTAATTGTTTGTTTTTGAATTTCGCGCAAAGCTACACGAGGGCTATCTGCGCTAGCCGTCCCTAATTTAGCAGTGTAAGACTAGAGGGTAGACAGCTAGTCATCACCACCCACCGCCAACTCTTGGGCTACTCTTTTACCAACGAATAGTGGGATTGACCGTCCCACGACTGAAAGGGCGAGCATATTTTGGTGTGACGGGGATTCGAACCCGCGACCCTCAGATTGCGAGTCGAGCGCCCTTACCACCTGGCCATGCCGGGCCTATTTAATTTTTTTTTAATCATAATGAAGGATGCTCTAATTTCACAATAAAGAATATAAAAAATACGTCTCACTGTTTAATTCATTTAAAATCCGCTACAGACAAAATCTGTTTTCATCTCGAAATATTTTAAAATATATTTAGTTTTATGAATCAATTTTCGTATAATTACTCAGACGCCTGAAAACCTAAAAACTTGGAAATTTCTTTGATATCATTTGATAATAAAGTTCCTTTCATTGTGTGTAAAGCAATTATATGCAGGGTTTGATATGAAGTCCTCTGGTCATCATTAATGACTTAAAAAAGCCATCATTCATAGATTCATTCTTTTCTTCACTAAAGTTACACATTTTGATGAGGGAAAGAAATATTTGCAATTAACAATGATGTAGAGGCTACCGACAGTCGATACAGGAGTTATAGTTATAGTGAAAATTTTTATAATCAAATCCAGTCTAAAACTGTGTAATTGCCAAAAGAACTGTACAAAACATAAATGAAATATTTATAATTTTTTTACCTAGTGTCTGTTCATTTATAATTAAATTTGTATAAATTTTCACTAGAAAACCGCAGAAGAAAGACAAAGAATACAATAGAAAAACTTGTATATTTGTTTCAGTAAAACAACACAAAACAAACAAAAAAAACGCATGACAATATTACTGATCATCATAAGTACCATTCCTATGTTGTTATATTTTGTTGTGTAGGTTACAATTCGTTAGGCAGTTTAATTAACCTTCTATTTAGAAATTTATACATTTAAATATATTTTGCAGATTTTACTTTAGTGTAAAAGCTATACAAAAGTGCTGAAGGAATCTTTCAAATGTACCTATCATCATTTTTAACCTATCAGTATCACTTAAAATGTATTTTAAAGTCGTGGTAAAAGCTACACTCACTTGTATAAGATTTAACACTACAAAAGAAATAACAACAAAAACTCGAGTGCTTTAAAAAAAAGAAGTGTTTCTGATGAAGGAGGTCCTCTTCTTAAATAGAAGAGCTTTTGGATCTCTTTCTCACTGAATTTTTATAAATCACTTTAAACTACAGAACCTTTACTTCAAAACGTGTACATTTACAATCAAATTTGTTGCGAAATTCACCAACAAGATCAGGTTTAATAATATTTATCAAACTAGTTTAAATCCTAACCATCATAATATTCTACTTATTATGAATAACACAAATCCTTAAACTTGTTAAAGTGTAGTGGTATTGCCATCCCTGTCACTCCATTCTCTATCTACTTTAATTCCCGATTCCAGGGCAGGCAATGGAGAGCAAGAATTTTGACATAAAAAAACGCCAGTGTTTCACAAACTTAACTACGACGCAACCATTATTAGCACTACATCACAATATTCTAGCAACTCTACACCTTAAACTATTAATAATTACTATGATCTAAATTGTTAGAGAGCTTAAAACATTAGCAGGCCATTGATTTATTTGCAAATACTACTGCAAACACCAGGGAAAATTCCATTAAAAACTGACCCCATTCGTATGTTATGGGCAAAAAAGGATACTCCAGTAAATAACTGAAGATTCCTTAGCCATCTTGGATTTTTTTATTTTTGAGGGAAGAGAGTGCATTGATAATATATATCATGCTACATAGTCCAGAAGTTTGCAAACAACTGAAAACGTGAAAACGATTAAAAAGAAAAAAGAGGCAAAACATTTTTATACCAATATAATATTATTTCTTTATATATATTAATAGCATACACAACCCTTAGAATCGCACAAATGCGAAATGGTACGTGCTTTCAAGACACTTTTCGAATTCCAATCGATGAAGCAACTTAAGCATTTCAATTTTTACCTGTGTGTTTTTACAATAAAAGCTCATAATTTTGTTACGAATAAAAATAAGTACTGAACTAGTATCAAAATGTTACTGTTAGCGCAAGAAGGCGCATCATTCATTTAGTGCGTGATGACTTACTACAAGTGTGACGCAGTCTGTAACTGTAAGTGTAAGGCCTCCGCTGCACAACCGTTAGTATTACTATTACAGAATGACAATGGAAATAAGTTGGAAACTTGCTGAATATCTAAAGATATAATGCTAGTTCTTACCTTAGCACCTATTTGGTTACCACACTGACCAGCTTGGATATGCACAATTTCTCTCATCTTAGTGGTTTCTTAACTATACTCTTTACAACAAACGACTTTTCTACCCGATTTTAAACCCGCAATGGCGCAAAACAGATACGGCGCCTTTATTATACAACTGACGTGGTGCTCATGCGCACTTGGGTATTAGAGAGGTTAACGGAAGAAGATTGACACTGAAACCTCCTTTGGCTTAAAACTAAACACGTAGGTAGCTTTATGGTTGGTGTAGTCAAACTAAAATCAATCAAAACAATTAAAATAATATGGGTAATATTACTACATACGCAATGTACCTTAGATCGTAAACAACAATTTACTTATTTTTTCAAGAGATGCTGTAAAAAGTTAAAACACACGTCTATAATATTAATATAATAATAAGAACTTTTTTTGTTAAGACTCATAACGTAAGGAAATTAGTATGTAGAATTATACACGGACTTTTCTCTACGTTAATAACTAATTATGTTGCCAGATGAAGGCTCCGGTAAGAGGGCCGAAAGCTCGCAAATAAAAGTAGTTTAACGTAGAGAAAAGTCCGTGTATAATTCTACATAGAAATTTCTTTTATTAGCTACTTTTCTGGCATATGCCCTTCGTCAGGCTTAGCTATTAAAATTACAATATCTCAACAATTTTTCCACGTCTTGCGATCTTTTCTACGCTGAATTTACTTATTTTGTTTGGCTTACATATACTGATGATATAGTTACAATATGATGAGGCTTTTACGTCGAAATTGAAATACTCTGTTCGATTTTGTACGGAATTTCTGTATCTGTTTAAAACTTTAAAGCAGAAATTGATGCTTGCATATACTCGGATAAATATAAGACTACGTAGCCTATTTGTACGTTCTTCCAATAAAAACAAATCAAAATCCTGTTTAATTGCGTCTTTATAATAGGGATTCTTCATATAAGCGCACATGAATAACATATAAAATCAAAAATGCTGCACAAGAGTTCAAATAGTTTGTTTTCCTTCTGAAATATTCGAATGAGTTGAAGTAGTCTTTATTTGATTCAAAAGAGTTATACTAATTAAGTAATAAAACAACAACGTAAACATGTACGTAGAAGGACAGATATGTCAGCAACACACGACTATTTTAGCTAACCAAAATCTCTTGTTCAGAACCACTCTCTCGTGTGAGGGTCTAGTTTGAAGTAACTAACCAGACATCTGTATAAATTACTAAACAGTCAGTATTTAATTAAGACACACAAAATGTTGGCAGCAATACATTAATCAACTTACAAATGTCAATGTGATACTGAGACTTCAAAGTATTTTGTTTGCTAAGGTTGCACAACTACGTACGACATGAGCTATAAATATTCGTAGTTTTCCAAGTATCCAAGTGTGTTTGACGTAGGAGATTACGAATGCAGGAAAGGGTGCTTTCTATATATTAATCATTAGTTGCAACAAATTACTCTAACTTCTGATAAAAGCATGATACCTGCATAGATCAGAATTATGAATTATACCAGTAATTAATATCGCTAATTGAATATACCGTATGTTATGCCCCTCAGGCTGTAGATATCGAAACCTGATTATTAGCGTTATAAGCCCTCATACTTACCACTCAGCCATTGGAGGGTCTAACTAGAAGTTTACAATGCCATAAAACAAAAACTTATAATGATTAGAATGCATTTTTGATCAGGTGTATCAAGCTGTCATTGACATTTACGCCCGTGTCTCAATAATATGTAATGTGGGGTTCAGCCTATATAGGAGATTTAGGTTAGCCTTAAATTCATATACTAAATTAACAATGCAAAATAATCGTCATCCACAAATGTATATATAATAAAGGATGAAATATAATAACATATACATATCAAAATGTTTAACGAACACTATTAATGAGAATAACACTAAAAAGAAAAGCATATGACTAACAAAACACTAACAAACATTTTTACTTTACGCACTATCACCGATTCCCCGTCCCTTGTAAAAGATAAATCTCGTGAATAGTGTTCTTTGACCATTTTGAGACATCAAAAATAATTTCAAAATAGCTTTTTTTACCATCTAACAGAATATTTGTTGTAACTCTTACCACCAGGAAACATTATATACAGTGTTCGTTTTCCTTGCTAGTCATAACTTTGCTATAAAGTCAATGGCAAAAAAGTTTAATACTATTTTACTTGTGTCTGAATATAATATTTTAAGGTAAGAACTAGATGTCTTACTCGGTAAGTGAAAAGTTTGTTACCGTGAACGGTTCTGACGCTATTTGGCGGTTTTGAAGATAACCATACAGGTGACGAATGAGATGGTTTCTAGACAAAGAAACGAAGTGTCAGAAAAAGTAGAAAACTCATGTTTTATTGATGTGTAATTCAAAAGAACTTTAAGTATAAACGAGGCAAAATATTGCAATGTAAAGGGGGAGGGCTAGAAATAACTGTAACATAGTGCCTTGTGGTGTGAATACATTTTGTAAAAAATGTTTTGCATTGATTTATATTCAAATCATGAAGTTTTTTTGTACTTATGTAAATTTAGGAGCGTAAGTACAACATAATTTGCTATATTCATAATTTACATGTCGATATATTAGTGGGCTAGCTATTGATTAAACTTTGACTTGATATATTTGACATTTATGAGTTTCGGAAGTTTATAGATAATTTATATATAATAAAAATCTGAAAAATACAGAAAAGAGAAAGTGACTACGTGACTGATGATCACTCTTACTACAAATAAAGGATGTTGGGGTATTGAGGTATCACCCGACTTGGCATGGAAAAATATCACTGTCCATTTCTATACAATGTGCATGGCTTTACAGGAAGCTTTCTCACGAGTAAGTGCATGTGACATTTTGGTAGGCAACTATGGTAAGATGAACTTAGTGACTCCCTTTGCCAACATTCCCTGTTAAGCATATATACGAAATATATATACATTAGAATGTATATTAGAACATTTTTATATTAAATGAGGGGGTAGGAATACGTAGCATACTTGCATATCACACTTTTCCTCTTCCCTTGATCTTCAGGCCAAACCGACCATCCTGAACTTTAAAACTTAAAAAACCAATCTTGCGTGGTTTGATTTACTCTAACCCTTTCACACTTGCACAACGATACAGACAAATGCAACGGAAAACATAACATTATAAAGCACAAATCAAAATTGAAGTTTAAAAAAAATATTTAAAATAAAGTTCAAGAAAACACAAAAAACAACAAATTAAATATGTCTTTTAACATGAAATACTTTAAAATGTCATATTAAACAACCTCTTCATCAAACATAAAAAGTACAAGTAAGAAGAGCTAATGGTACCACGATCTTGGAAAAAAAGGGGCCATGAAGCATTGGTGTTAAGAAAACTGTGGATTTCATGTTTGGTCACGGTGGGTTAAGACCAGTCAAAAACTGCTACGATCTTTGTAGGGTCAATAGAAACTCAATCTTATCCAACAATGTGACTGAGAAAATTCACCTGCATGTAAATAAATGCATCCTTATTCGCTTTCAACTCTAAACCTACCATTCTTATTCACTTCAGTACCTTACACAAGTTCCTCGGCAGCAAACTTCAATGTGTGGCCAAACACCAAAACACCATTGACATAGATCAGGTATTTCTTCCATTGCAGTCCCTTATACATAACCTCTATTAACTCCTTAAATGTGGCGGAAGCATTATACAGGCTGAAAGCAAGATGTGGAACTCATACAAACCATCTCTATAGCTGAAAGCAGTTTTAGGTCTGCTATGGTCATCCACTATAGCTTGTTAGTCATGTCCATCTAAAATGCTGAACCGCTGAGTGTCTTTGAATGCATTTTTACCTTCATCCATCCATAGGAGTTAGAAGACATGGATGTGAATTACTGCTTTCACCCATCTGAAATCTTGCCATATCTTCCTGACAACCACTACTATAGATTACCGTGGATACCGTGAAAGTTGTATAATCTCATTCTTTAATACCACTGTATATTGGCACTGATTACACCCCTACTGTTCCAGGGAATCCTGCTATGTGGCTGTTTAATCGGACATGTATCGACTGTATCTATGTGATGGTGAGTGATTTTTGTCTAACCCAGTCTGTAATATGGTCCCACATATACATCAATATATTTAACGTCAGGGCTGGATATGCTTCGTTTCTATAACAACTACCCTAGGTGTTGACATAAACCTCCCACCCACTGACTATCAGCAAACACCAGGCTGAGTATTTTATACGTGGATGGTGTGATGATGTGGGCTCATGTAGGAACCCACAAACGCGGACAAAAGCTAAATCTCTGGCCTTGGGTTGCAAAACAGCGAGGTACCAAAGGTAGCTCGCTCCATAACTGTGCTTGGCACCAGACTTCTCTGTGACTCATGATCGCCATAAAAGTATAATTCACATCACGGAGTGTCTCTCTACATCCACATGGTATTGCGAGGACATTTATTAAATCTAAATAAGTCCAAAAAAATACATATTTTTAATTCTGATATACAGAAACAACGAACTGTAAACAATAAATTTCAATATATATGCGCAATTTTCATTTATTTCAGTTCTTTTATAAAAACTTTGAACATGGCTGAAACTAAACAAAAGTTTGTAGTTAAAAGATATTTGTAAAAAAAAAAAAATCAAATAAACAGTGTGGAGACCCAGTAAAATATTTAAATTAGACAACAGCTTATGAGCGTGAACTGTCGTGAATGTATCAACATAACAATGCCAATTTTCAAGGCTTGAGAAACGTTATAGTACCTTTAGTTAGAACAAAGCATGAACCTGTAGTTAGCTTGCAAACTGTGGACCGGAGGATACATGCTTCGCGACTCATTACCACATAATACAAGAACAAGAACAACAACAACAAAAAAAAACAAAAAACATTGCGCTTCAAACTTTGGAGTTGTAAGTGCGATCAGATCCTGTTATTCAATCATATAAGAGTGGCTGGATACTGTTGACTAGCTGCCTTCCCTCTAGTCTGTCAGCTCAAAATTGTGGATAGCTAGCGCGAATAGCTCTCTTAGCTTTGCGCAGATATCCGAAAAAACAAAACAAAACTCTTTAACTGTGTTTTTACCCAGTCAGAAGGAAAATGCATTGTA